AAGAGCTGGGTAGGATGGAACCTTCCCTTTCAACAGCTGGCTCATGCCTACTGCCACTGTGCCATGCTGGAACAGCACTGTGCTGACCCTCATCCCACTGCTGGGGAGGTTTGGCACACCAGTGCATTGCACTGAGGGGATGAAATGTCTTCTCAGGAGGAAGGGAAAAAGCCTGTTGTGAGGCAAGGGCAAAGACAGAGCAGTGGTGCAGCACAGCTGTGCCTTTGGCTGTAATGAGGAGAAATTCCCAGTGCAAAGAGCAGTGCCTGACTCTTTAAAGGGGATTGGTGTGTTTGGGGGAAGAGCTGGAGCTGCTGCCATCTCTGAGCAGTGCAAACGAGGAGAAAATAGAACTGCCAGGCTGGCTCAGAGCAAAGCTTCACCCACCCAAGAAAGGCCAGAAGATGCCAAGAGGACACATGATCCTGACTTTTCTGGACAGAGTTCCAGGCCTTTCCCATCAGGATGCTTCCTCCAGATCCCTGTGTTTAACAGCCACTAGTGGACCTGTCCTCTGTGAGCTTTTCCAGTCCTGCTTTGAAGCCCTAGGTATTTCTGGCAGCCAGAACATCCCCTGACAATGAGTTCTACAATTTAATTACAAGGGGAAAGGAAATGACTTTGGATAGATTTTTAAACCTGCTGCCTGATCCCTTTATTCCTGTCTTGTCAGGAGTGGTGCCTGCAGAGGGATTGAGAAGGGGAAATGGAAGAGAAAGTAGGGCTTGAATTTGGAAATGAAATCTGGGGAAGAGGGAAAACTGCTAAATTAATATAAAAACAAAGCCTTTCCAGGGACAGGATGCTGTTGAGTGCAGTGGTTTAAATCCTTTGGGATACCTGGGGAATATTTGGGAGGTGAGGTTCTTACTGGGCTGTGTTGGCTTCAGAGCTGCAGGTGCCAAACTGGGGCTGAACCTCTGGCTCCCAAAAACCCAACAGTACCTCCAGGTTAGAAATATTTTTGGTTTTTTTCCTCTTCATCTAGTCTGGAGAATAGAAAATGTCTATCTCCTTGGGGATGCTTTTGCAGCAGGACAATAAATAGCACCTGTGGGCCTCCACAGCTTGTTCTTCCAGCTGCATGTGCTTATAACCAAAAATGTGCACCTTGGGTTTTCCAGGCTGGCTCCCAGGTGAGTTCATTCAGGATCTGCACTGGTTCAGGATGTCCCCAGCTAATGTGGTTTCACAGAGACCTTCGTGCCTTTCACAGTGTTGGCTTCTTTACCCTTTGTAAATATTTCACCTGTTTTCTAAATTATTCATTCATTAAGTGGTTTGGAAGGGAGGAGGAATCACGCTTATAGAATGTGTGAAAACTTAAAACACTGCAAAGCTGAAAGGATGTGAAAAAAATAATTAGAGGAAGGATTTTTACATCAGAGCAAACCCTGTTTAAGCACTAGGAGGAGATGGGAGATGAAGGGATGTGGGGTCTTGATGGATCTGGCACAGGCTGGGATGTTGCTGGGATTTGCAGAGTTGGGGTTTGCATTAGGATGGGATTTGGATGCTGAGATCTTTATTAGGGGTGGACAGGGGACCTGGCACAGAGTTTGAGGTGACCACACTGAGGGGTCACAGGGCACCCTCAGACCTGGAGGTTCTTGGTTGTCTCAGTGCTATCTACAGCCATGGTGTGGATCTAATACAACATAAAACAGCTATTCTCCAGTTTATTGGTAACTTAGGGCTTTTGCACACTAAAAATGAATTGATTTTAGGTTGGGGCTAACTGAAATTGGGTGTTAAATCTGTCTCCACACAGCAGCATGCCCCTTGCTTCCCAAATGAGGAACCTTTCCTTCCACTCCACCTTCCTCTAAGTAACAACCAGTGAAGGTGAAATATTGTTCCTGAATGGAAACATGTTTGGTTTTTTTTATGGTGCCTCTATTCTTGGACCTCAGAACATCCTTATGCTGTTAATTAATTAAAGCCTGTCAGTCCCTTCACGGGCAAAGGTGGTGGGTTTTATCTGTGATAAACATGTAGCTTTGAGCTTTGTGGGGAAGGAAGGGAACCTTGATGGTTTAGCAATGGGGAACAGGCAGAGACGAGCAGGGCTTGGAGGCCCTGGGGGGCAGGGGAACACCCTGAGATGGGGAAACTGAGGCAGAGCAAGGATGAGTCAGGACAGGAAACTGAGAAGAGTCAGAGCTTGGACCAGTGCCTCATCCCTGAGAGTCTTTGCCCTTGGCTCCCTTGCTGATGGTGTTATCCCAGCCTCAACACAACCCTCCAACCATGACTGTGCAGTCTGGAGTGGCACAGCCCTGGGTTCATCCACCCTCTTCATTCCTTTGCCTTCACAAAAGCTCTCAGCGAGGTATTTTTGAAGGTTATCTTCAAAAGCAAAACATTGGCCTGAGAAAACTGAATAAAGGCTCCTAAAACCCAGGCTCTGGCCAGAAGCCAGGACAATGTTCCCTCATTTTCTTCTGTAGGGCTCATCCTCTCTGCTGTGTTCCAGGGCCAGGGCAGATGTTCGTTATCAGTTCCTGTTCTGGCTGAGGACCGTTCATGCCTTCTGCCACCCGGCTGCGGTGGGGACAACAAAGTGTCCTTTGTGTTAGCCCTCAGGTTTTCCTGGCCTGGTACATCCTTGGGTAGCCCTTGATCTTGATGGAGTTCAGATTCCGGTGCTGCTGTCTGAATCTCCTCCACTGCCCAACCCACACAGCTCCAGGGTGTTTTGGGGCTGTATCCATGTGTGAGCAGGGCTGGATGCGTTTTGGGTGGGCAGGGACCATGTGGGATGCTGTTCCTCTACCTGGGACCACCATCCCTTCCCAAAGGTCTCTGGGGTGGTTGGGGGAGGTTGGGTCTTCAAGGAATCGACCTTTTTGGGACACAACTTCTGGATCTGTTGAGTTGTGCCTTACCACACACTTGGGGTGATTTCACAGCAGACAGGCTCAGCTCCTGTCCCCATCACTAGCAGAACCAGGCTTCACCAGCCTCCCAAGCAAAAAGTGTTTTGCCAGTGTTATTTTGGATTATTGCAGCATTTCTCACTCTCCTGGGGCACTGACATTGCAGTGGTGTCTGTCTGCATTGCTGTTGAATTTGTCAGCTAAGGCAGAGCCTGACCTGAACTGGGGCAATTTTGATGCACAGGAGCGTTGGATGGAAAGCAATGGGTGCTACAAGGTCAGATTCAAGTTCAAAGTGCTGCCATCCTGCTGGAGCACAAGTGATGGGGCAGTGCTGATGGGGACTGCCTGAAGCACTGCCCCACTCCTGCCCTCTCCATCCAGCCATCCATCTGGAGTGTCAGGAGGTGGCTCTGGCTTCGATGCTCCTGGAGCACAGGGGTGGTCTCCACATGGAGCTGCTCGTCCCCCTGTGTGGGACCTGCCCTGTCAGTGCCTCCCATGCCATTAGAATGGACACAATGCTTGTTTTCTTTCCTTGATCAAGTCTGGCAGGTCCAATGGCACCACATGTTGAGTTCTGAAAGGGAAATTTGGTTTGATGCGTGTTTGACAAACTCCAGAGGGTTTTTGCTCAACAAGCTTTTGTGGTTTCTGCTCTGATGGAAGGGAGAAACCCAAGTGCCCAAATCAATATGGTTCTGCTTGGATAATTGAGCTGGGAATTTAGTTCATTATGTGAAGTGGCTGTTGAAGTGGGTAATTGCGGATCTTGAGGTGTTTGTCCTATCTGATAGTTTGGATTGAAGAAAATTTGGGTGTTATTTCACAGGTGTATAGGGACAACATGGATTCTGTGGGTATCCTATGGTGGAGTAATAAAGCTAAATAACTCACATTTCTTTGTATGTTAGAAGAACATGGATGACAAGGAAAAGAGCTTTAAGTCAAGTTTTCTTGGGATGGGGACCTGGCCTCTCCCCTCTCCCTAAAGTGCCCTGAATACTGGCTCGTCTCAGGCAATAACAAACACCAGCAGTTGTGTAAAGCCCCTGATGCTTTATGCACTATTTCTGCAAATAATCCTTGTTTATAATTCAGTCTTGGCAGAAGAAGACTTTAAATTATTAAGGCACTAAATATTTTGCTGTGAAAGAACAGAGATAAAGCTCTTGGCAGAAACAAATTGCCAGGGAGAAGTTGTTCTCTTCAGTGCTTTTGGGGCTTTAAAGTATTACAAGAAATAATGTGTGGAGAGACTGGGAATTCATCACTTGATCAAAAGATTTGCTTCTCTCCTAAAAAAGCAGCTGTTCAGTGCATGCTTTCCAGCACTCCTGGAAATACAGTGTCCCCAAAGACCATGTTTGGGTCCCCAGAGCTGTCCCCTCTCACCACAGCACTGAGGGTGGTCTCTTTTAGGTGGAGGTCTCTGTCCTGCCTCCAGCTCTACCACAGCTTTTAAAGTACAGTTTTCATGCACTTGGTGCTCCTTTGAGGGCAGATTTTCAGGGGATTCTGTATCCCTTCCTCAGAAGTGGGAGATACTGAGTTTGTCATGTCAGTCTATGTTCTGTGGTACCAGGGCTGTTCCAGTGCTGTGGAGTGGAGGCTCTTAGAATTAATGACTTTGCAGCCTGTTGCTGACTTTATCCTGATATTACACACTTATTGCTTGTCAGAAGTGGAGTCAGAGGGTGGATAGGTGTGTGTATATACATAAAGACATTGTGCACAGCTACATATTTTAGGTAGTTATACCCATAATCTTGTAGCTCTTCATTGGAGAGATTTCAAGCATGAGCTGTGGTGGTGTTTCAAACCCCAGAGTGCTCCCATTGTGGTTTTTGTCCATCATCTCAACATCTTAAAGCAAAAATCATCCTTAAAGTGATGATGGGAGTATGCAGAGAGAGTGGTGATGCCCTGGCACCACAGAGAAGCTGTGGTTGCTGCATCCCTGGAAGTGTCCAAGGCCAGGTTGGACGTGTCTTGGAGCAGCCTGGAAGCTGTCCCAGCCCACAGCAGGGGAGCTGGAATGAGATAGGCTTTACAGCCCCTTCCAACCCAAACCATTCTGCAGTTCTGTGATTCCATGCCTCTGTTTCTCTTCCCTTGCAGGAGACCTGTGCAACTGCAGCTCGGTGGGCAGCGCCGGATGCAACCGCACGACGGGGCAGTGCCTGTGCCTGGCCGGCTACGCGGGGCCGAGCTGCCACAGCTGTGCCCACGGCTTCTTCCCCCAGCAGGGTGGCCAGCAGTGCCAGCCCTGCAGCTGCAGCCCTGCTGGAGCCACCAGTGAGCAGTGTGACCAGTGAGTAGTGCCGCGTGCCACGCGGGTTCTGCGCGCAAGGCGTCGGGATTTGGTGTGGTTTGGGTTTTGGGTAAGAGTGGGTCTTGTTGTCTGTGCTGGGAAAAAAAATAAGCAGGAGGGAAGCTGGTCTTATAAAAATTAATGAATATTATTCTTCCTCTTTCAAGAGCTGAATTATAAAAATACCCGTGGTTGTGGCAAAAGCCCTGGCAGCCCCCAGGGGAGCTGACTTGTGTCTGGGACTCGCATGGAGGCAGAACCTCTCCTAATGCCTTGTGCATCTCTGAGTCCCTGTTGGGCAGGGCTGCCCTCACTCCTGAGCTGGGAGGGGAGCAGAGGCTGGGGTGGAGCACGGGGGCTTTGGAGGGGTTTGTTTTCCAAAGGGTTGGTTTTATGGCAGAGGCAGGCAAAGCTTTGTGCTCTGCCCTCGCTGAGCACTGCGGTGGAAGCGGCGGCCCAACAGCAGAGTCAGCTCCTGCCTTGCCTGGTGTTTACAGGCACCAGAGCTGATGCTTGGAGCTCTTGTATAATGAATGTGTTCCTCTTCATTTCACCTCACCCACCCTCACATCTTGCCTTGTAAAAGCTGGCACGCAATGATTTTCCAAGCAGTGATCTGTCAACCATTAGAGACAGTGGCTGAGCCGAGGGGATCTCTGTTGCTGCAAGATCAGATGAGCAGCAGCCTGACCCCCTGGCTCTCCACCTTGTGCTCATGGGGACTGCAAGTTTCAAAGTCTCTCCTTGGAGGAGACCCCAACAACCACCCTGCAGCAACTTCCAGCCTTCCCAAGCTCCTGCTGCCTTATTGTCTTCTAGGGCTGGGTCTGGGCTCAGCGTGTGTGGAACACCTGCAGTTCCCTGCCAGGACAGGAGCTGAGTCAGAGTAAAAATGCTCTGCAGGGACATGCTGCCTGTAATTATTTTATAGATTATCTTCTCCCAAACGCCCAAACACTCTGTTGATGTCCTTCCTTTTTGTTTCAGTGCTGCATTTTTCTGCTTGCATAAGCTCTGAAATTCGGAACCTAAAAGTAGCTCTCCAGTTGAGGAGAGCGACCTTCTTACTAAAAGAGGTGATTCTTGAGGGTGGAAAGTATGAAGTTTTATCACTTTTTTTTTTTTTGGTGGCTGTTCTAGGTATAGGAAGATGTGCCTGGAAGCATCAGGGTATGCCACAGAATTGAAAGTGGGATTTTGGTCAGATTTATTGGAATAATGAATTGGGCAGAAAGAGAGATGGGCACATCTTATCTTTGGGAACTGGGAGAGGAGAGAAAGTGCTGCTAGAGCAACTGGGTTAACTGGAGGGGAACATTGTTGCTCCAGCTCTGAGTTACTGGGCAGTGGGTGAAGCACAGACATGTCTGGTGTCTCCCCATGTCTCACTGCATGGGGCGAGCCGAGGAACGCCCTTGGGAGCTTTGGGTGAGATGCTCTGAGTTGTGAAGGAGAATGAGGTGGAGTTGGGGCCATCTGTGTGGAGCCAGAAACAGCAGGGACCTCCCCAGCCTCTTCTCAGCACCATTTCACAGCCTGCAGGGATGGGGGAGATGCTCATTCTCAGCCATTCACAAGAGACAGCACAGGGCAAGACGTGGAGGGAGATTTGGGGAGGGGGGATGTTGCTAACAGAGATCACTCTGTTTCCCTTCCCAGCTCAGAGGGGTTTGCTGCAGACAGAGATGACCTCTGGGTGTTTAAAAAGAGAAAAATAGGTCAGTTGTCTGTGTTACAGGGCTGGGGGCATCAGAAGGGCTGCGAGATGGGCAGCCTGGCGTGGTGCTGAGTGTGGGAAAATGGAGTGGGACACAAAGGCCAGCAGGGCAGGTGCTCCCCTTGCTGCTGTTGTGTCACAGTGGGCACCAGGGCTGGGCACAGCTCCTGCCTGTCTGCAGCTGGCATGGCTGGGGCAGGCACCAGGGCTATGGGGCATCCCTGCAGTGGGGTCTGGCCTGATGGGTGGGAGGGCCCATTGCAGGGAAGTGGGTGTGAATGCAGCAAGGGATTTTTGGCTCCCATGCTGGGAGCCCTGGGTGGCTGTGAGCAGTCCCTGCAGGAGCAGTAGTGTCCCTCAGGCAATCTCTGCTCAGGGATGAGGCACGCAGGCATTGCCCAATACCAGCAACCAGCTACTGTTTTGTTGACATGGAAAATCCTGTAAGTTGTACAATTTATTTATTTAATAAAGCACCAGCCCAGCTGGACTTGCACAAGCGAATTCCTGTGTGAGGCTTCAGAGGAGAGCCATGGCTGTTCCAGTGGGGCTCTGGGTGAAACAGCAGCAGAGATTTTGGACTCTGACCCTTTTTAAGGGTGGCTGATTGGAGGGGCAGAGTGCCCAAAGGCCGAGCCCTCAGGGCACACTAAGATCCCTCTTAGGTTTCAGTCAGCTCACCCAGGCTTTTGTAAAAGTGCCTTTTAAAGCAGCACCATATGATGATTATTGGTATTATTTCTCAGCACGCTCTTGGGCTGGCCAGATGGCAACCCAAGTCCTCTGTTTGTTAACTAGACCTCAAATGCAGACCATCAAACAAAAATTAAAAAAACCCCTTTCCTGAGGCACAGAGTTGATTTTGGGAGTGAACATTGACCTGACATGCTGTCGCTATGAATGGGCTCCATGGCTGCTAATCAAAGGTCTGTTTTGGTGGTGGTTTAAATTTGATTATCTAGGAAGATCCACACAGATCCCTGTGGGATGGCAGAGCATTTCTGTGCTCTGGTTTGGGTGGTTTTTTTGTTAGATGAAAAGCTGTGTGTGGCTCAGGCTGGAGCTTGCTGAGGGGCTGGATGGAGTCTTGGGCTGCTCAGAGAGGGCTGACACATCTTGGGGAGGGGAGGGAATGGTCCCTGCTGTGGTTAACGCCTAGAAACCTCAGAAAAAAGCACATTTCTTTGGGCTGGATGCGGTGCAGCTGCTTGCTAAAGATAGCTGTGGCCTGGAAGTGTTCACAGTCCATGGAGGAAGGGTGGAGAAAGAAGCTGAAGTTTCAAGGGCCATGGTCAAGGTCAGAGTGGTGCAGAATGAGGACGGTGACTCATGTGGGTGCAGGGGCTGGGCTGGAAGGGCTGTGTTCCTGCTCTGGGGACAGTGACACGTGGGGACAGTGCCTGGCAGTGGCCTCAGCCCATGGGGATGTAGCCCCAGCCCAGCACCAGCTGCATCTCTCACCATCTTTTGGAGCTGTGGAGTTGAAGGCTGTGCTGTGTCCTCTGAGGAAAGCAGAACCTCCCAGCCTGGTGGGGAGTGAGTGATCAGTGCTGCTGGAGAAGGGCAGGCTGGCCAGCCCACACCTCCCCTGTGCAATTCTTTTCCCGTTTTTCCTTCATGTGAGCAGCAGTCCTGTGCCTGAACTCTCACCTCTGGCTCCCTAAGGCTGGGCAGGGAGCCAAGGCAGAGGCAGCAGGAGTGGGCTGGGGTTGGTGGTCTCCAGTCCCAGGGCAGGGACAGTGGGAGCAGAGGGGCTCCTCACGGTGTTTCTGGCCCTCTGGACCCTGTGCAGCTTTGCCCAAAGTGCCACCTGTGTCCCCAGCTGAGCCAGGGCAGTGTGAGCCAGCACACAGCCCTGGGATGAGCAGGCTGAGGGAAGGAGTTCTGTTTGAGGAGGCCTTGAGCTCTGCAGCCCTCATGCCCTGGTGTGAGGAGCTGTGCAGGCTCAGCTCTTCAAATACACACTGAGAGAATTCTCCATGTAAACCTGGCCTCTGGCTGGGGGGTGTGAAGGACCAGGGCTGCAGCAGCACCAGCCTGGACGAGGCAGCATCCCCCTCCTGGGGACAGGAGATGGCAGATGACTCTGCAGTTTTGGTTTGTTTATTTTTACCTTGCTGGCAGCTCTGCCCATCCCCACGTGGCACTGCAGACACTGGCCCAGGGCAGCCCAGTGTGACCCAGCTCATCTGCAGGAGGGCTGACCTGGATTTACCTCCTTTGAGGTGTTTATCCCAACTTTTCCTGGCCCAGCACTTGGGTGTGTGTGGCTCTTCCTTTCCTGAAGCTGTGGGGGCAGCATGTTTAGCCCACGAGCAGCTGGCCCTGCGTGGGAGCTGCTGTGGGTTTGGGATGTGAACAGGGACTGGAGCTGTGAAGCAGAGATGCTGCTAGGAGATGCTGCTGCCTGGAGAAGGGTCCAGCCCTCAATTCCCTGTTTCCCTGGGAGGTTTTGTTTTTTGGACTTGTCCTGGTTCTAGGGAAGAAAAGTGGTGCAGCAGTACCTGTGCCAGGGAGCAAGAGGAGAGCTGTGGCTGCTGGGGGTTTTAAGGATCACAGAATCACAGAATATTCTGAGCTGGAAGGGACCCGTAAGGATCACCCAGTCCAGCTGCTCACCCTGCACAGACACCCCAACAATCCCACCCTGTGCCTGAGAGTGTTGCCCAAACATTCCTGGAGCTATGGCAGTCTTGGGACTGGGACTATTCCCTGGGGAACTCAAACACCCACTGGGGGAGGAACCTTTTCCTGGTATCCAGCCTAAACCCCCTGACACAACTTTCCCACATGGTTTACCTGAACCCAGGCTAACCATCTAAACTGGGTTAGGTTTTTCCAGTTCCCTTAAAAAGCTCTAAACTAATCATACACATATGCTGCCACTAGAGGAAACAGATGCCTGTTAAAGTGGGGTCTGTGGATCAATTTAAGTTGCTCCCTTTGCCTGTGCCTCAGTTTCCCCACAAGTAGAAGGGAAGTGGGAAGCAGAAGCTCCAGCAGACAGCTTGAAGGTGATGTCTGGTCTCCTTTGGTTGCTGTGGGCTGAAACCCCATGCCCAAGGGTGCAGTGTTCTGCTTCTTTGCTGATCCAGCAGCCTTTCCTTCTTGCTGGCTGCAGCCAGCCCTGTGATCCTGATTCCTGCACGGCTTGTGCTGCAGGCTTGGCATAAGTCATGTGAGAGAGAGCTTCTGTCACTCATTTCCAGTGGAAAAAAAGTGGGGGGAAAGATAAGTACATATAAATGATCAAATGTTAATTCAGAGATGTTTTTCCCCCTCA